GTGGTAATATTACTAAAACTCGGGGGTTTTTGGTAGATCAGACCAAAACTCGGGGGTTAAAATATAGTTCACCCTATTTAGAAAGTTAGAATGGTATAAATATTATGCATTTAATTTAGTTAGAATAGTTTTAAATCTACACTCTAGTTTTGATTTATGTTGGAACTTGGAAAGGTAAAGTGTATTAAAGAAAATTTAGAATAAAATAATTGTGAATAATAAAAAAATAATTTAGAAAAGAAAAGTGAAAAAATGAAAATAAAAATTTGTCTAAGAATAATTTTATTTTTTTAAAAAAAAGTTAATTAATTATTTTTTTAACAAAAAGTTTTTTGAAAAAGACCTAATCCAAATGGCTTTTTCATATTTGTAACTCGTAAAAGGGTATTGAGAAATTCTTATCCAAATTCATTATTTTCTAAAAATTACTTTTTCAAGTTTTACTTCAAAAAGACTTTTCTGAACTATTTTTTAAAACTCTTGTCTAAATGGAACCTATATTATTGGTTGTATTTTTAAATTTCGATCTTTGCTTTATCAAGTCCTGACTCCGAATTTAAACTCATAAATACTAGTTGATTTTTTGAATTTCGTTTTTTGTCAGTGATAGAATTTCGCATCCGTCGTACCATTTGGAATTTCGAACCAATGAAAAAGGTTTATCGTCCAAAAATCTAGTTATTAAGTAGTATCAGAACAACCTGATAAATATTGTATAAAATTTAACAGATCACTTTTCTTTATCTTTTACTTTTGATTACCGATTTTCATTTGTTCTTGAGTTAGTAGGACCGAATTCGACTGAATTTGTTACAAACAAATCTATCCCTTTTGTAACTTACAAGTAGTATCACTACTTATTCATCAAGGAATTTTCTTTCTTTCATTATCTTTTCGTTCATTCCTCTATATACTAGTGATGTCTGGTCGCGCAACGCGCGACTCTGGCCCAGTCCATCTGTAAATCTTAGAAATAGTTATATTTGAAAAAAATAAAATTTTGTATTTGGAGCGATATATTTTAGAAATGTTTGAAGGATTTAGAAATGTTTTATAAGTGTGATCATAGAAATAATTGTATTTCACAAAAAAAAAAGAAATTGTATTTCGCCATGTAAGTTATAGAAATATTTTATAAGTGTTATTTATTAAATATAAATAGCCTTAATCGAATATATGTATTGAAGTAAATGTTAGATAAAATATAAAAATATCCTAATAAATTTAAATATTAGTAAGATGATTTATTGATGTTCGGTCGTGCCAAATCAATACTTAGTTTTGGAGATTTTTAATAGCTTTGTAATAAGCTTCATCCGCATGGTATACGTTTAAAACAAAATTGACACTTTGTAACAAAAACCTAATTGATCAATTTAACTTAAAAAACCACTCTAAATGAATGAAACATAAAGAAAATTTTTTTTAGAAAAAAACGTGTCACGTAAAATGCAAAGGGAGATTTAGTAATTTAGTTATGGTTTAGATAAAAGGGCAATTTAGTACTTTCTATATGCCACGTGGCAATCATATGAGGTGTTTGAAAGGAGGGTTTTTGTTTCTAATATAGTAGGAGATTTAGTAATTTAGTTATGGTTTAGACAAAAGGGCAATTTAGTACTTTCTATATGCCACGTGGCAATCATATGAGTTGTTTGAAAGGGAAGTTTTTGTTTCTAATATAGTAGGATATAGTTCCCACAACAAATGTTGGAAATTTTAGTTTGTAAAATAAAATAATTAATTTAAAATTGAAGGATAAAATTAAGTTGGCAACCCTTCACATGCTTGGTGGTTATTTCCTACAAGCCAAGGGTTGTGTACTTATTTTGTATCCTTTTATTTCTGCAAATGTTGCCTATAAATAGGTAAACTAGTACAGGAATTCATTTTAACTTTTGCATTCCAAAATCCTGAAAAACATTCAATAAGTTACAAATTGCATGTTCTTGTGTTCTTAAGTCCTAGAGGCAAATTGCCATTTAACCATGTTTGCAATCTAGTGGGGGCAAATATTGTCTTAAGGGCAGTGTTTGACACGATTAGAGCACTTTCAATTCTTTGTGAATTTCCTTTTGTTGTTGAATTTCAGATTCCATCAATAAAGTTTCTTTTCTCCATCTTTGTTCTTTGGTTCATATTGTGTTGTTTCTTTTGTTTCCATCCCCCGATTTCTTTCAACAAACTCAAAGATGGTGGATGGGTCGAAGAAAATTTTCACTACAAGTTGAAGGAAACCCAGAAACGGATATTTTTGTTGGATACTAATCGCTTATCTCATATATAACAGGCTGGATTAAAAATAAAATAAAATAGCTTCCCCTTGATTTGGGATCCTGAACTGATCGAATTGAAGCATCATGATAACTTGGAGAGCTCCCAATCCAGTGCTCTTGTCACCCTCCCATGTAGGTCAATTAGAATCAGCATGTACAGTACTTAGGTAACGATGAACAAGGAGTCAAAAATCGATTGGCGAAATTCAAGAGACCAAAAAGAAAAAAAAAGTGGTGATTAATTAGTGCAAAACATAATTTAGGCAGGAATAGTTTTTAGGGATTCCGAGGAAGATCGATTAAAATTTGGCAATGGGAGATGTATTGTGTTTCCTGTTGGGAATAGACTCAAAATTATCCCTACCGCATCGTCGACATGGTCATGGATTGAGAAGAGGCAAAGTAAATGAAATTAGAAGTAAAATTCGTCAGCAATTTTCCATGCATATATTCTGGTGAAATTGGGAACGTAGGAGGCGTTATTTTGTGTGTGGATTGAGAGGTAAAAAAACTAGACGAATCTAATATACATTTCTCCGTCCAAAAAATGTTTGTCTAGTTTGAGTTCTTATTTTTAGTACAAATACAAATGTTTTTACGAAGTAGACAAATCAAAGATCAGTTTCCAGTCACATACAGGAGTATATCTGTTTCCATGATTGAAAGACGGATGATCAGGTTTGGTTGATTGTAGAAATCAAAATTAATTCTGTGACAAATTGGAGAGATTATCCTCTATAGGGATTCAAGTACAAATTGTAAATGCCCCTTCGCGATCAATACAACGGAGCTACCCCAAAACTGGTAGTAATCTTCGCATGACCTTGTCTGGAAGAGACGAGTGATCTAATAAAATGGGTACAACTACCAATACAATGCCTGGGTTCCGCTTTTCCGGAATCCCACAGCAAAATCGATGAATCTGCAACTTTTCTTTAACATACCGGTAGTCCCATATGATCAAAGTCTACCAAAATCTGTGTTTTCAAATAATGATTAGATACAGCTGAAATGTTACTGCATCGGATTATAATTCATAAATAACGGAAAAATCAATTCTTCGGCCAATGAATCCACTGAAACTTAAATCATGATGCCTCCGCGGTGAAGTCAGAGGTGTGGCGCAGGGGAGTAATCAGTCCAGCACTTCCTCTTAGGCTCTTAGGCTAATGAAATCAATCAAGTTTGGAGAAGTTCCTGTCCAAACGTACAAAAAGGAATCCAGCTACCCTTCTGTATAACACTATGTGGGCAATTTGGTTGACTGAGAAATGAGTTAATCTGGAAGGGAGGAAAAAAGAATCCAGCAGACATACAGATTTAGGCTGGAGGGAACGGCAAATCTCACAAAGAAAGGAAATCAACCCCAATTGAGAGAGAGGGATATTTAAGTAAGCCAAACGAGAGATGGACATGTTGCTGAAAGAATATTTCAGCAAATTTCCTAACAGGATGGAGCTATGATGAATCAAACAACAGGATGCTACAGCTAGTGAAACCCTCAAAAATCAAGGGAAGAGCTTCTCGATCAAAAAATACTTCTACATTTTGAAGCCATAGCCTGTTTAAGGAAACTATAGGATCATCAACTGGGCATCATGATCTATTTCCTCCAAACAGACAACACCATCGTGCAGCTTTACTTGATACAAGTAGCAGCTCCGCTTTACAGTTGCAAATGCTGGAGGAAGATATGAATCACCATGCAAGTATGACAAACAGTTCTAAAAAAGTACCATACAGATGGCAGAATATGTCCATAATAAGGCAAAAGTCATGCTAGCACTAACTGAAATACATTCTGAAAATGTCAAAAAGTATTTTTACTTTAGTTGCCACATAATGCGCATATTTACCAATAGAGAGTGCTCTGATTACATAAGAACGTTGAACAACAGAGTTCAGTATGTGCTTCACAATGCAACAGTAACAGTAAGTACGCACCTTTGAACTCATCTTCTACTCAAATCACCATTCAATGCCTTCAGATGAGCATGATTCCACTTGTGGTTCTGATATAACAGAAATCCCAGACTACTTCTAGGAAAACTACAATATGTTTCGTCCTTTATGACCAAAAGTGAAGGTGAGACAATACATACACTGTCGCTTTTCTGCCACAAATACAACCCGATAACATTCAGGGCAGCTTCATGGAAGTATGAGTTAGGGACATCTGTACGTGTTACCCACTTCTTGCATAGAGGCTGTTTCCAGTTTCCATTCCGTGACCAACCAGTCACAAAGCAGCAACCTTATCGTTACACCCAAGGCCCGCCCCAACCCAGTAACTTAATCACCAAAGGAAGATGGAACCAAAATGACTGGCTAATTTTTTGTTACCAATCTCCAACTGATGACAAAAAGCCCCGTGACAATCATATTGAATTAACTGATGTCAAACTTTCAATAAACATCGAAGGACCGGCCATCCTGTCCATGAGAAGGGGTATTTTTGCACCAGCCTCGCTTCTCAAGTTATCCCTGATTTTCCGCCGTAGGTCAGAAGGTGGGCATTTAATCCTCTTGAAACACTTCGTTTCTATGTTATACGTGTACAGTAAACCGTTGCGCCTTAAAACCAAAACAATCTTATTGGGAATTCTAGGTTGAAGGGGCACAAAAAGTCCTGTAATGGTGAACAATTCAGTCCAGGAATGCTTTACACCATATTCTCTCATTATTAAAACATGCATATCATCATCCCTACAATCCCCTTCACCTTTAGACATGCGAAGGCATCCACATAAAACACTGAGTACCAAAATAAGAAAATTGTTCATGTTTATCTGGCATTGGCAATTCTGTAAACCGGTTCATCTCCTCATCAAAACAGATTAACAACTGCACAAAATCGGGCTCCCTTCCCATGATCCAGTGCAAGTGATTGTTCAATAGAACTCCTGATGTTGATGAAATGTTAGGAATATCTTTCCTACATACCGTATAAGGGAAATTACGGTCCTTCAACAACAACTCTCCCGTCCTTAAGCTAGCAACATAAACAGATTGACTATAACCACGAGTGCACCCGCCCTCAAACCCCACTAACACAGCTTTGTAATCATCTGATGATTTATCAAAGCAAAGCCCAGAAGCTGTAAAGATTAACGTACGTGGCGGGTACATATATTCCAAAACCTTGAGTTGGGTTAGTAACCTGCAGCATCTGGTCAAAGGGTTCCACAAGTACATTCCTTGCACAGTCGCGAAGAGTATCAAACCATTACAAGTCCCAAATACTGTAAACGAAGAATAATCAGATGGCACTTCACCAACAGGACCAGGAAGCTCTTCTACTGAGAATTTATCATCGATTGAATAGAAGTACATATGTCTCGAGTCAACATACCTTCTCTTACTGTAAGGTAAAAATCCTACAATTGCTCGTTCCCTTCCAGTGGAGGAGAGAAAAAAATCAGGCTTCGAAATGAGATCTTTCCAAAATTTGCAGACACACTTAAATCGCAAAAGCGCCTTCACTGGTACTCTGGAGAGAATCTCCACAATGATTTCATCAGGAAGCTGAACAATCGAAGCCAATTTCGTCGTTCCCCTTTTAATCTGTAATTGTGTTGATGTAGATGCGTATGTAATCTGAGCAAAGATTTCTCACAGGAATATGATCAAACACCTGGTGTGCGACGTCGACAGAACTCGGAAGCAACCAAAAACTAAAATCTGACGTGAGATTCAGAGCCAACCTCCATAGGAGTTCCTCCTCATCAAAATCCTTCGACTCCAAATTAATCCTTCCTTGAACTATGAATTCCAAAGGTTCGAACAGCGGAAGACAAATGGGCTCTTTTGCAAATGAAAATTTAAGAGGAAACGAATATACGGCCAAAGACAACTCTCGACTTAAAAGAGAGAAAAAGAAGAGAGAACGAATTAACGATAACGTAATGCTTGGTGCCTTTGTACTACATTTATTATGAAATAGGAGTACATATAAATTCAATTATTATGAAATAATGCTGGTGCCTTTGTTTGTACAAGTTCTTTTATAATACATCAAGTTGACTATGGTTGCTTCTGATCAAAAAGTATAGCGTGTCCTCAATCCATCCCAAATTTAGAATTTTATTGAAAAAAAAAAGACTATTGATTTAGGCAAGATTGTATCACTAAAAATATCTATCTTCAAAACTGTTTTAACGATGTCTCTTTCATTAACATCTGAATTGTTTGATTAATTAATTGCTACTATATAGGAATTCTTGTTCCTTCTCTAATAATAAAGCTAAAGAATGGCTTGTATACTGGATCTGAAGCACATTTTTCACTCGGAAGGGTTAAACCATATTACAAAAGAGACATCATTTGCGAAAATATGTGTGTTTGCACAGGATAGCTGGTTCCATTTGCACATCAAATTTAGTGATTTAGCGCCCGAAATTGGAAAGTGAAATGAGCTAGTTGTGTGTATATTTAGCTGCAACAAGTTTGTTGTGGTATATATATGCTAGATCGAAAATACCTATTTGTATTTTTACAGCTTTCTTGAATGCATTTTTGTGGTTGTGAAATAATATAAGTAGTTTCACCTCAAAATCGATTGGCAATGAGGAAATAGTACTGAGATTTATATATTAATATCTAGTCTCTCTTACTACCGATGTGAGATACTCAATAGAAATTGAGTTAGGAGTGGCAACTGTAAATTATTCTACAAACGGGCCATCTACCACACTTATATATTGCCTAACAATTTGATAAAAATTATTCTCGTTCCGGTTCAAACAAAGAGTTTAGAATCTTATACTACAAACATGAGAGATATAATCAAATCGCGTTGAACTGGAACCAAAGAACACACCAAAGAACTGTTGTGGCGAAAAGGATACAAACACAAAAATCCAGCGGAAACGATTCCCAAAAAAATCTCCTATCCTACTACCAATAAAATAGGACAACCAAACAAGCAAATAATCAAAGAACTGATAAAGTAAAATAGGCACACAGATTTACTTGAAAAATCCAAATCGAGAAAAATCACGGAACTGTAACAACAGTCAAATCTCCACTATCACAATAATGGGAAACAATCTTCTCCAACCGGTGGATACACAGGACTTTACCTAAAGGTGGATTACAACAATACTCTTCCACACACACCTATCACAAAGTAGGATTGGAAGGATCTCACCAAAAGAGAGTTAAACCGAAAACTAAACCAGAAAAATTGTAGATCTTGTTGAGAGGAACCAACGTGCAAACTTGCACCAATAACTGACTCTGTTTCGTCACCCGCTCAAAGCCTCAAAGTGAAACACTTTCTTCTCACAACGCCAAAACTCCAAAATCCTAGTTTTCTCTCCCTTTTTCCCTCACGTACAAGGCTATGCACGGCTGAATTTTTCTCACACAAACCCAATGTGTGGCTGCCCGTTTCTTTTGCTGAACTCACGTCCAAAAAAAACAACCACCATGGCCTTTTATAAGCCATGCCCAACACCAAAAACCAAATCAAATTGGAGTTGATTTTTTTTTCTTTCCTTCGGTCAAAGCACTTATGTGGTCAAACGAGCTGGGCCTCCAATTGGGGGGAATAGGCCCAACAATCTCCCCCTTCACCTCAATTGGGGGGGAGGGGGGTAAAACAAGAGCTTTCTCTACTCACAGTCTTTGTCAATATATCGGCACCATTGTCATCTGTATGGGTCTTATCAAGAAACAATGCCTTGGACTCTAAAACATCCCGAATACAGTGATATCTCATATCAATATGTTTTGACCGCGAATGAAATATGGAATTCTTCGCTAAGTGAATAGCGCTCTGGCTATCATAGTACACCACATACCTCTCTTACTTTATGCCAAGCTCTTGCAGGAACTTCTGCAACCAAAGTGCTTCCTTACAAGATTCAGTAGCTGCGATAAACTCTACCTCTGTAGTAGAGAGAGCAACACACTTCTGCAACCTACTCTGCCGTGAAACTGCTCCCCCTCCATAAGTCATCAAGTAACCAGAAGTAGACTTCTGACTACCCAGGTCACCCGCCATGTCAGCATCTATTTATCCATCTAACATGGTCTTTCCTTTGCCAAAGCAAAGACTCAATTTGGAAGTACCCCTAAGATACCTGAGAATCCACTTAACAGCATTCCAATGCTCCTTACCAGGATTGGAGAGAAACCGACTAACAACACCAACGGCATGAGCTAGCCTTGTACAAACCATCGTATACATCAGGTTGCCAACTGCCGAAGCATAAGGAACCTTTTTCATCTTTTCCTTATCTTTCTCACTTTTAGGACACTGCGTTTTGCTTAACTTAAAATGTCTCGCAAGTGGAGTCGAGACCTCCTTAGCACCGCTCATGTTAAACCTATCAAAAACCTTCTCGATATACTTCTCTTGAGATACCCAAAGTTTCTCATTTTGTCTGTCACGAGAAATCTTCATCCTAAGGATCCGTCTAGCCGGAACCAAATCCTTCATCGCAAAGGACTTATTAAACTCTTTTTTCAACCTGGTAATCTTTGTAGTATCATGACCAACAATCAACATGTCATCGACATAAAGCAAAAGAATTATAAAATCACCATCAGAGAATTTCTTCACAAACACACAATGATGGGCTGTAGTCCTTTGGTATCCCTGCCCTATCATGAAGGCATCAAACTTCTTGTACCACTACCCGTGAGCTTGCTTTAACCCATACAAGCTTTTGTTGAGAGGACACACAAGTTTCTCTTTCCCCCTCTCCTGGAACCTATCTAGTTGCTCCATGTAAATCTCTTCTTCCAAATCACCATGTAAGAAGGCTGTCTTCACATCAAGCTGTTCAATCTCAAGATTCAAGCTGGTCACTATCCGAAGCACAAATCGGATTGAAGACATCTTTACAATAAGAGAGAATATCTCATCAAAGTCTATGCCCTTTCTCTGATTGAATCCCTTCACAACTAATCTAGCTTTGTACCTTAATTGTGAACTGTTCTCACTTGTTTTTAGTCTAAACACCGATTTATTCTTGAGTGCTCTCTTGCCCTTAGGCAGCTTCACCAGGTTATACATGTAATTCTCATGCAAGGATTTGATCTCCTCTTGCATGGCTGCTAACCACTCATCTTTCTGCTCATGACTATGAACATCTTCATACGACTTTGGCTCTCCCCCATCAGTAAGCAACAAATACTCATGAGCACTGTACCTGGTGGAAGGTCTCTTGTCTCTGGTAGACCTCCTAGGCTGAACATGAGGTGATGAAAATGGTGGTGTCTCTGTATCAGTAGCAGGATCATCATCAAACTCACCTTCTTGCTCTGTCTCAACTCCCCCTTAAGGAGAATCATTTGATTGTGGAGAAACTGGATCTAGATCAACAGGAATCTCATGTGAAGATTCTGGCATTTTGTCTTTTTCCATATCATCAATGGTCTGGTCTACAAAGAAGACCACATCTCTGCTTTTGAAAACTTTCTTCTGTACAGGATCCCAAAGTCTGTACCCAAAATCATCATTGCCATACCCCAAGAATACAAACTGCTTGGATTTTCCATCAAGCTTCGACATTTCGTCTTTGGGAATATGAACAAAGGCACGATAACCAAAAACTCGCAAATGTCCAAATGAGACATCTTTCCCTATCCAAACTCGCTGTGGTAGATTCACATCCAACGGAACTGAGGAGATAGGTTGATCAAATCAATTTCTGTCTGCATGACTTCACCCCAAAAAGATTTAGGCAGCTTTGCATTCGAAAGCATACACCTAACCTTTTCGGTAATAGTTCTGTTCATTCTTTCTACCAAGCCATTCTGCTGCAGAGTCTTTGGAACACTCTTCTGAAGTTTAATGCCATGGTCTCGGCAATACTTCTCAAACGAACCCCATATAATCACCACCATTATCTGCTCAAACACACTTCAACTTCTTGTCAATCTCTCTTTCAACTCTAAGGTGAAAGTCTTTGAACACATCTAATACATGATCTTTAGATTTCAAAGAAAAACACCAAACCTTTCGAGCATAGTCATCGACGAAAGTAACAAAGTACAATGCACCACCCAGCGACCTTTCTTTCATGTCACATACATCTGTACGAACTAACTCGAGAGGACTGGACTTTCTAGATGGAGGAGAATTTTGAAAAGAAACCCTATGTTGTTTACCATAGATACAGTTAACACAAGGTTGTAGAGCAGTACCTTTTACCTCAGGGAGAAATTGCTTCTTACCAAGAATCTACAGCCCCTTGACACTTATGTGTCCAAGCCTTCTGTGCCAGAGATCAATGGAGACATTGTGAGTTGCATTCACCTCTCCATTCTTCAACTTTGTATTCAACACATACAAAGAGTTTAACTTCTTTCCTCCAGCAATAACAAGATTTCCTCTGGTAATTGTCCAACGGCCACCACCTTTTGTGCTATGATAACCTCATCATCAAGTTTGCCAACGAAAATAAGGTTCAGATGCATATCCGGAACACGTCAGATATTCTTCAAGATAAGAGCACAATATGTATTCGTTACCAATGATACCTCTCCCATGCCGATAACATCGCATGAGGCTTGGTTGCCCATTCTTACACGACCAAAATCTCCAGGTGTGTCAAAGGTGAAGAAGTGCTTGTGAGGCATCACATGATAAGACGCACCTGAATCACCGAACCAATCACTGCCGTGACTCGCAACATTAATTGTATCATCGTCACAGTACATAAATACATTACTGGTAGTTACTACTGCAGTGGTGTCA